ACCCACTCCTCAGGTAATCTATGCCAAGGATGCACGGGGCCTCTGGGCCAGTCACGATGGGGTGTCTGTGCCATTCCTTCCCAGTCAGGCTCACTTCAGCTTCCAGTACAGTCAGCTGTTGGGATCCCCCTGTCACCCCAGAAATGGAGATGGATTCTGCCCCTACGTATCTTGATGGCATTAAAGTACATTGTGCGCCGGTGTCCACTAAGGCCTTATACCTTTGTGGCTCTGATGTGCCAGGCCACCGAATCCACACTGTCCAATAGACTCGATTTTCCTTTCTCCTCTACCTGGCTAGAGGCAGGGCACCCCTAGTCCTGGTCATGGTACTCATTGTGCTCTTCTTGTGGGTATGACCTGGAGGTCCCTTCAAGAGGATCAGACGTATCATCATTCCTGTACCGTCTGGAGTCTTGCCCATGAGAGACTGGAGCAACGTTTACCCTTGAAGAGTTCTTTATGGTATTGGTTCCTCTTTTCAGTTCACGTACCCGGGCTGCTAAGGAAGGGGTGGGTTTCCCATCCCACTTCCTCATATCTTCTCCGTGCTCACGGAGGTAAAACCATAGATCGCCACGTGGAGTGTACCTTCTCTCCTTAGCTGGGGGACGCTGGCTCCTAATGGCAGAGACTCTTGTTTGTCCTGGTGAGATATGGAAGATCCCTTCCTTAATTTCCTCTCTTAGCTTCTGGTGTCCCTCTTCAATTTTCTCTTCCAGGCTTCGGACGTGTTCAGCCAGTTTGGTTTCCACAGATGAGACGTGGGCTCGTAATGGGGCGGTGACAGTGTCTTCATACATCCTGAGTTTACTAACCAATGCTCCCACCTTGTCCTCTCCCTCCCTCCATTGCAGCGTTGCTAAATAGCGGGAATACATTTCTGGCCCGAGTCGTGCAAACTTTAACCACATCTGGGAGGTGCACTGTACGCCATCTGGACTTTTAGGGAATCTTTCATCGTCTGAAAAGATTATCTCCAGTACAGCTAACTCCCTTAAGCACCGGATACCTTGTTCCATCGTGTTCCACTGTCCTTGCTGTACGTGGAGGTCCTCCTTGCAAAGGTATCTCTCCCTCACACTGCACAACAGTCGCCGCCAGAGGCTGAGAGTTTCCTGCCTCCTTCCACTCCCCTGATCAATGACTACATCTCGAGACAGGGACCCCAGCTGTCTGGCTTCAGTCCCATCTAGGATTGTATCGTTAGCTGCAGCATCCCAGATTCGGAGCAGCCAGGTCAGAATGGACTCGTTCGCCTGTCGTGTGAACTCTCTCCGGAGCTCGCGTAGCTCACCCAGGGATAGGGACCGAGTGATTATTTCTGGCTCTGCCTCCTCCAGTGGGTGTGAAGGTCCTGCCTCTTCGTCATCATTTGCTATACGGACTGATTTAGTCTTTGATTTCCTTTTCTGGACAGGGGCAACTGCTATTGGTTTTGGTTGTTCTTCTGGCTCCTCGATGGTTTGTGTGGACACGGTGCCGGTTGGTTTATTTCTTTCTCCCTCTGACTCAGCTGTGGTTTGGGTGGACGTGGTGCCTGCGGATTTGGTCCTTCTCTCCTCCCCCTGACAGTGCTGTACCATGTCAAGTAGTGTCCGGTAGGCAGTGGCCAGGGCCCAGCAGGTTGCTGTGAGCTGGCCATCTCTGGAGCTGCCAGAGCATTTTTCCTTCACCAGTCTTATCATGCTAACAGGATCCTGCAGTCGTTCAGGGGTGAATTTCCAGATCATTGGAGGAGAAAACTTCTCCAAATACTGGCTGATGTCCTCCCACTTCCCGTGCCACTCAGCATTATCTGCTCCCAGGGCAGGTGTCCAGACAACATCCCTAGAAGGCCCTGTTCTGACCCTAAACATGGTGTACACAGTACAGAGCAGACAGAGCAACACTAACAATAACATTATACTGTCCTTAACATCAAAAGGGAACTCAATATTTTCAAGAACTGTTGTAGCAGGTCTGAAGGGGAAGAAGGAGGTGAGAGGCTGGAAACAACCATCCCCCCCTGTTCCCCCAAAGGGCTGGGTACGATTTTTAATGAGGCCCCAGAGGTAGCAACCCAAACCAGGACAGGCAAACAGGACTGAATACACATTTACAATGAAACTCATTGCTTCTGATGTTAGAATGACATAAACAACAAGTCAGGCAGTGCCTGTTGGGGAGAAGCTGCCAGCAGCACTGGGAGACTGGCTCCGACCTTCTCTTGGACATCCCAAGTTCAAAATGCTCTGAATACTTTTCTTTCAAAAGAAGAAAAAACCCCATTTGGATTGCTCATGCTGGAAACAAATTCCCTAATTAAAGCTGTTCCTGGCTACCCTTGAAATACCCCACAAGTTTTATTCAAAAATATTTTGTGGAAAACTTCCAGTTGGAACTGGTTTGTATTAGGTTTCTTTTCTCTTTAGAATACCTAAGAAGCTCTGGTTTTATATTTCACACTGCATCAGCTCTGCAGAATGGTGTGAAATTTTAAACCTGAGCTCCTTAGGTATTTCAAAGAAAAAAAAATCAGCTCTGCTAATGTTTGCTGAAGATTTGCTGGGGAGGATGATGGATAGATTTTCAAGACGTGCTTTCCTTCTAGGAGGGTTCTCTGGGGGCAAAACCTTAAGAGACACTTACAGCTACCTGCCTTGCCTCCGCTGCTGGATCAGCAACAGCACCATGACTTTCACCTGCTGTAGTCACAGCACGGCCACGCTCAGGGACAAGATCTTTTGCATCGGAGGAAAGACACTAAGAGGAGTAAGTTAATTTGCTCTTATAATCCCCAATATGATCCAAAATAGGCTCTCCATTTTGCTAGGCCCTGCTTTGTTCCAACAGGTTGACCAGTAACTCTGTTATTTTTGGTCCTTAGTGGACTGGCTCAGTTGCAAGTCAGGACAATAAGCTTATGGAAACATTTCTGCCATTACAGTCACATGCAGCAGAGCCTATCCTGGTGTCACTCTCTATTTGCCAGAGTACATTTCTTTTAAATAGAGAACACATACAGTGGAGGCACAGCCATTAACACAGCAAAATCCAAGTGTAAAACAGGTCAAATTTCTGCCCCAAATACACTAACCCCCCGATTGTCCTTGTATGAGCTGAGAGCGGGGAGAAACACTGGCAAATGCAAAGAGGAATGAAGGCATTAGCCTAATTTTAGGAAAGATGAGCTCAAGTCCTGGAATGCAAAGGAAGTCTCTTCGAACCTGGATTTCCCATCTCTGAAAGGAGGGAAAGCAATGTCCAGCCCTCTGGGAAGAGGGCTAACAAGGACTGGAAGGTTTACTCTAGAAGAACCTGATTCCCCAAAGCCAAGAAACTGAGTTTTCAGAGATCACTTGGCAATTCCCATATCAGAGGGTAAAAGCTCAGGGGCAGGGTCTGGCTCCATTTTGCCATGATGGGTATGGTTTTCTTGGAAGGAATGAGTCTATAACAAGAAACTGCACAACAAGGCTGACAAATTCCTCCAGATGACACAAACTTGGTTGTTGCCCCCAATTCAATGCCCTATTGCCCTGTTTAGATGAATTCTTTTGTAATTGGTTAAAAACTCGGATAGCAGGTAGGGCTTGGGCTATGCCAGGTTTAGTAGGTCCCTGTGGTACCTTGCTCAGCTCAATCCTCTTATTTCCCAAGAAGAAAGCTCCTTCCAAGATGTGCCATTCTGGTATTTTATTTAGTTTCTTTTGAGGCTCTGATTGCTAAACATGAATCAAAAATCTGGCATCCTGAGCCCCACAGTGTTCAAACAGATGTTGAGACACTAGTTTCCTTCATCATGAACCAAGCAAGCCTGATGTGACAGTGATGCCACTTGAGGCGTGATATGATGGGTGAGTGTTGGTCTGGTTCTCTGAAGGTGGAGGAATTGATTCATGTCAAGGAGATGGAGTATTATTGTCCTGTAAGCAATCACTGGACAGTACTAACACTGTCCCCATTCACCTGCTGCCAGTTCAGCATCACAGCCCATGGCACTACACTCTACCTGGCAGGAGGTGGCTTGCTGCAGCACATGCAGAAAAAGGACAGTGTTTTCCTGTATGATGTAGAGGGGCAGGTATGGAAGAAAGCCAGTCCCCTACCTAAAGCTCTGATCAATCATGCCTCTTGCATGATTAAACTTCTCTGAGTGAATGAAGCTGGGGAGATGGTGAGAGGCATGAAATGCTCCCCCCACAGCCAGGAGGAAGAAATCCACCCTCAGCTTGTTCATCTCAAAGAAACAAGAGTCCCACTCTGCCTCACAGGAGGAGTAGGATGCGAATATGTCCAGTAGATCTGACAGTCTTTGCTAAGGCATTAGTGTTTTAACAATTCTTCTAGGTATCAGCCAAACATCTTTAGCAGTGATTTGGGATTGGTACATTTAGCTTCCAGTGCTACTAAAGTACATTAAACTTGTAAGAATTCCTTAAATCATTCTTTTTGTTGCTGTTCAGAACCCATTTTTCTGAACAATGACCAAGGTAGAACTCATTTTCAACAACCAACTTGAGAGATTTTATGAGGAAGTCTTCGAAAGTTCTTTGAATTCTATCTCTATTAATAATTTCCTTACAAACACTACTGGCTGATAAAATGAGTACTCACAGAGATAAATATACACAATATGTTTTCTTGCCACTGGATTAAGACCACAGGACACTCTGATGACAACTTTGTCCTCAACAAGCTGACCTCAGAAAGTGCACTGAGCCTGTAACCGCCAGAGTAGGGGTAAACTTTTAGAAAAGAACCAATTATCTCAGAAGTCCACATCTCATGGACAGACTGTGGGGCTGCAGTGCCTGAAAATCTGACAAGGATAAGTTTGGAAAGGTAGAGAATGAACCTATGGGCCACCGTGGGAATCGTCAAGTGGCAAAACATCACAGTGGGAGATCAGAGCCATACCAGCTCCCCTGACACATAGCAACACAACAACTCCACTGACAGGTGCTTCTAGAAAACACAGTGTTGCATAAAAGAGCAAACTGATAATATTAACTCACCAACAAGAGCAGCCAAGCCTTGAATTGGGTCTCTGTGGGCAAGAATTTGTTCACAGCCGACCTGGGTGAGACACATTACAGGCAAATGACAGACAGAACAGTTACCAGTCTCTGCTCTGAGGAAGGGCTAAGCTGGAAGATTCATTAAAATTACCATTTACACATTCTATGGTTCAGCAGCTTTCCAAGGGCCTAATGCAACAGGTTTGGAGATTTTTATCTTCCTCCTTTTTAACAACAAAATACATAGAAACAAGTAGACGGGGCAAGGCCAAACAGTTCCTTTACAAAGTTAAGCAGCTATGGAGGGGCCACAGTGATACACAGCAGTTCCTCCTACAATCAGAATATTTTAATTCCCTTTTCAGGGGGTGAAGGGAATGTGTAGAATAATTATTTCCACTTTTGAGGTCATTAAAGAGACCATAGAAGGGAACTGGAGCCAGAGGCAGCATCTCCCAAGTCCCAGTGCAGCAGAGCCAGTGTGATCTCTTGCACAGCATCCGTGTTGCTCCAGGTAAGAGCCACAGAGGCAAATGAAGTCCCATGGGCATGGTATGCTGGAAGCCAGCAGGGAACAGCAGGCTGTCAACACACCTGAAGACACCAAGAATTGCAACAGCAAGTGGTGACCTGAGATCAAAGCTGTAACCTTGCAAAAGCAGCAAAGCAGCTGGTGTATGAGAGGTCTTTGTAACCCCCTGAGAACCTGGCTCTTTTCCCACACATTGCCATCTCTGATTCTCTTGAAAGTTCACAGGTTTTGCAGTCCCCAGAACAGCAGATTTTTCTCTGCATTATACCTATGTCACCTTCCTAGGTGACACTTAAAAAGGAGCTGATTTGTAGATCTCCATCCCTACCTACCAAGAAAAATACATCTATGAAAGCATGTTGAGATGGGCTACAACAAAACTACTTTTTTTTTTCTAAGCTGCAGGTTTTTGGTGCTTAAAAGCTGAAGTTAACAAGCTTACACGGGCTTTTGTGTCTAAGGTAAAGGCAGAGCAGGGTAGGAGCAATTCCAGCAAACCTGCCTTCATGAGCATTTAAAATGCAGCAGTCACTATCACGGAGAAGTTTAAAATGTGTAGATTAACTGCCAGAGCGGAAGGGCTGAAACATCCACCACTACCTTCCCGTTGCCATCACCGATGGGGTGTGCCTGACAGTGTCCTAAGCTCCAGTCACCCCCTTGCACCAATGTCCTCACCTTCACTGGACTGGCAGGGAGGTGACCCATGAAGTCAGTCTTGTAAGGGTAGTTCATCATGGCCATCATGGTGAAGGCATTTCTAGCAAACCCAAATAGCTGGTAAACATCCTCTTTGTTAGAGATCTTACTGCATGTGGCCATTTTGCTGCTGATCTCATCATAGGCTGCAGAAGCAAGGAAAATCAAAGACACAAACTTTAACAGAGGGAAAGCAATACCAAGCTTCAACATCTTACTTCACTCAGGAGTATGGAGATGCTGTAACATCTTTCTACTGGAAAGAACACATTACATCTAAATTTACACAGGTGGATGTTTAGGCACAGCCTCCCTGTGCAGTGTCACAACCTCATGCGGTCCATGGCCCACACTCTGCCCCTTCTGGAGCCACTGACACCTCTCTGGGGAGCCCACAGGAATCAGCACCTGCTGGGACAGAAGTGGTCCCAGCTGGCACAGTGAGCAGAACAGCTTGGTATAGCCTGTCCTCGCTGGTGCCCTGATGGCTGCTCCTGCTCACACCCCCAGGCCCCCTTTCCCTGGCAGGGGGGAAAAAAATCAACTTAAAAAAACCAACCGACAACAACGACAAAAAACCCACAAACTACAATGAAAAAAACCCCCAACCAAAACAAACAAACAAAAAAATCACCCAAACCATGCTCCTAGGGAGCAGTGCGCATTCTGCACTACGAACTGCCAAGCAAGAACAGCCCTCACACAGGGCTCCTGAGACATGCCTTCAAACCTCAGTGGGCTGCACAGGTCACCTGGAGTCAGGAAATTCATCTGTGAAGACGTTCCTTCAAGATGCACTCATGTACTCAGATACACCTTTGCACTTCTGCTGGGAAAAGCTGCTCCCTTCATTTTCATTTTCAGCCTCCACATTTTGGAGTCGCAGTTCCTGTCCCTGTCCTGCTCTACAGCTGACCACCAAAGCAGGTCTGGGACCTCCTCTGGATACTCACTTGAGAGTCTAAGCCTTAAATATGACCACCTCATCCCCCTGCTGCAGTAAGCATAGCCCCCAGGCAGACCTGGAAGAGCTTGGCTAGTTAACACGAATGTTCTTACTGCTGTGACCTAAAGCTAAACAGTGTTTTGGACCCTAGGCTCCTCTGGCAGTTCCAGGACCAGCAGCAGCCAGGAGGCACATGGCTCCTGCCATGCAGCACCACAGACCAAGCCTCAGGACAGACCCAGAAGTCACCACAGCTATCCCAATACCACGCAGGGCTCCCAGGAGATGCTGCATGAGCTCACGACATCTAGTCCAGCCTACTTAGGAGCCATTGCAGAGGTCTTCACCATTCTCTGTCCTAACTGTCTGAGGCTGGAGATGGAAGGGACCTGGATGATTGCTTCAGGACCTAGACTGCTCTCCATATATTTCTCACATCTATCCAGTGAGCTGACCACAAAGCTGTCATACCCACCTGAACAGCTCTTAACAGTGTGGGTGTTGAGGACGAGCATCTGGCGAAACATGTGGCTTTACTAGCATAAAATACTGGTGGTTTTTCCCCGCAAGTATTTTTGCACTTTGGTGCAGAAAAAACTGTTTCATTAACACTGTGCAAATCCCCACAGAGCTGCTTAATGTTTTGGTGTCGGTTTGCTAATTTTAATGTTAACTGAAATTGTTAATGAAATAAAAAAAAATCAATCATGCAAGCAGAAAGAGGCAGCCATGTGGGTATTTGCTTTAATTTAGCTGAGCAAACTGAAGAGCTAGCTGAGGTAAAGCTGTATCAGCTTTTTTCCCCGTGGCTGGGACTGCCTAGGACTGCTGCCTGCACTTAAGAGCTGTCTGCAGGGCTCTCTCCTTACCTCCACTCAGGCACAGGTCCTTGATCTGCTGGAAGGCCTTGCGGACAGCTGTGACACAGCCTAGGCTGGACTTCTGAAAATCCTGAAGGGACAGAAAAGACACAGGTTGACTGTAGGGAACCGAGATTATATGACCCTGGGAGAAACTTAAGGGGAACTTGGCGAGATAAAAGCGGACGTGGTGAGATGTATCTTTGTGTGTCAGAAATTGCTTAGGGGTATTTTTCTCATGCTCAGTGAATGCTTAACTAAAAAGTAGATATAGAGGAAAGTTACTAACAGGAATTTACTGCTGATGTAACGGGGTATACAAACCATGAAAGAACTGTAATAAACGATTCCATTATACCACATGGGGTCTGTGCCCAAGATGTCACAGTTGACAGTTTCACAGAGGAGATACTTGTAGAGGCTGCAAGAGGAAGACCTGCCAGAAGGACCAGGAGATGAGAGGGGTACTGGCCCCCTGGTCAGCACCTCATCTGCATCTTCAAGAGCAGTGACACCAGTGCCTTGTCCTCCAGACAGTCATCACATCCCAGTAGAAACCAACACTCCGCACACCTCAGGCCAAGCAGCAGCTGTGCCACCAGGTCTGGCTAGGCTGTCAGATGGAACACTCTGCACTTCATGGAGCATCAGACTGAACATGAAGCAGCAAGAGGAGACATGCCTTGGCCAGGACATGGGGAGAGTGGGCCAGGCTGTGAGGTCTAGAAGGTTTTTGTTGTTGTTTTTAAACACACAACAGAGTCTTTCCAACTGCACTTTGTCTATGAGAAGGAGCCATGGAGAAGTCAGTTGTGCATCCAGGGTACAGAACCAAAACCTGCTTTTCTTAAACCTGCCAGTGACCTGCCAGATGACCATGTCCTTTTTCTTGGGAAAACCATTACTGATCCTGAAAAAGCACTCTAAGTTATGCTTGAAGAGCTGTGGCTGGCTAATGTGGAACAAGTAGTTTCTGTTACTGAAGGCTCTAGTGACTCCAGGCGTTTCTATTCTCTTAATTTGTAAGGCAGATTCAGATCTGCTGGCAACAAGTGCTTCATAATAAGAAGAATTATTAGGGCTCTTCCAAGGTCCCTTTACCCTGCTAGAGCAATGGTTAAGTAATGACAAGTCACTAGGTAGGCATTTTTCTTATAAAGACCCAGCCTCAAATAAAAAATAGATTTGTGACCTTTCTGTTCTTCCTAACTCTGCCTTTGTCTGATAACTATGCTTAAAGAAATCATTATGGGGTTTTCCACAGTTACCTGGGCATCTCTTTAGGAGTTCCAAATCTCCTTCTGGATGTGCTTAGTGATCTTCATCTACACTAATGGCTCCAGAGGGTGGGGATGGCTTGGCTTGGGACAGAGGAGCAGGTCTGCTCTGGCTGCTGTGATGGCTGAGCACCTCTAGGCACTGCTGGACTGCTGCCATGCACTGCCCGGCACGAAGGACTCAGCACCCATTTCAGCTGACCCCCAGGCCCTTATGGGCCAGTAATAGTTCAGTTGAGCTGAGCAGAGGCAGGAGGCATTGCAGCCATTCCAAGGAAAGCTGTTCCTGTTCAGGTCGCCAGTCTTACTCTTGACTCACACCCAATTCAGATGTGTGATGTGAGCTGATGGCCTGCGCAGCTGCTGCAGCAGTAACCTCAAGGGAAGCAGGCAGGGGCTGTATGTGCAGGCCTCACACCAGGGGTTCTGCCAGCTGCAGGCAGCTGGCATATATAACCCAGTACTATGAATGTAAAATCAACTTTCTGCCCTTTGCTCACTTTCCCTGTGAGCTAGAGACTTACGAAGTGAGCTGAAAAGGCTCAGTAAGGGTCACAGAGAAAGCTGCTTTGAGACAATGCACTCTGACTCAGTTGGAGGGACAGAGGGAAGAGAGGTGCTTTCCACAGTGACTCAGGAAAGGTTTGTGCCTTCATTACCATTAACAGCTCTCAGGGGTGTTCTCACCGAGAAGAACAATTCAGTTCAGATTTCAGATGCACAGATTGCAAATAAGAGCATTGAAGGTGATAGTACCTTGAAAACACCACATGGTGCTTGCTTAGGAGCTCAGCCCAGAGCTTCATTTATAGCTGGAGAGAAAATAGATTTTTAAATTAATTGGAAAGTTTTTTCAAGTGAAAAGGTCAAAGCCCTATTTTCAGGGGTGTTTAATGACTCACAGCATATTCACAGCTGAAGCAAGACAGAGCTCCTGGCTGAACAGGGCTGCTGAGAGGAAGTTAGCTTCAACCAGGGAAGAATTCCTACTGCAAGGCCTGTTAGATAACTAAGTGGCATTACATTTTTTTGTTTTAAAATGTAGAACTTTAAGACAAGATGTCTATTATTCTTTTATACACGTAAGAGTTTCAAATGTGTTTATTTTCATTATAGTCTTTTCTCTATACTTAGTAGTAAAGCCATCTATCCTGTAAGTCTCTGCCGTGAAACAAGGTGTTCATGTATATAAATAAAAGCAAAAAAACCACGAGTTGCACACACAGGTGTGCTCCTCAGCCCTCAAAGTGGAGAATCACAGCAAAGTAACACAAGAACGACAAGGATATGTTAATGTCAACAAAGATGAATCACCTCTGGACAAGGGGGATGGGGAAGAAGAGAATTAAGGTGGCCCAAAGCCAATCTAAGACTAATTATCAAGGTAAAAACGACCTTTGAGGGACCTCACATGCTATTGTCTGACCACCTTGGTATAGTGAACTGATAAGAGCATGTGCAGAAAAGCACTGGTTAAGTTGACCGATTAACAAGTTTTGTGCAACTTCTTTGTTGTAACTTGTATAAAAGCCTGCAAACTCCCCAAAGAGAGGTGCCAGTTTAGTGAACTATCACCCAGCACCCCTTTCTGGGCGGAAGGGGACTAAACGTGAGCAGGTGGACCTCAGCTCTGGGTGCTCGTTTGCTCCTGCACCAGGTACAGACCCAAACCCTGACTGAGGAACAACACAGGTAGTTCATACAAAGCCATCTGTGTCACCCAGATCTAGAAATTCATGTCAAAAGACAGGCAGAACAGACACCATCAGACAAGATTTCAGTACAACCAGGTAGTACATTTCTTTCCTTATAAACTGAATGTAAGTCAGTTCTAAGCAACACCATCTTCCTATGAGTCCTATGGCCTCAAGCTGCAAAAGCCATGCTTAAATTTTAGTTTAAGAGAACCTAGGACACCTTGCACATTTTTAGGTAGTGACATGAAGATTTCCAAGCTCTTCATTGAAATGCAACCCCCTTGGGACTAGGGAGCTGTTGTGAATCATTGGTACCAATGCAAAGTACAGCATTTTGGGAGAGGGTTTGAGAATAAGTTACCCAAAAGGGGTTCAGCCACGCACAAAGGAAAAATTTCAGGCTGTAATATGGTCAAGCCACTAAATGGGAAAGTGAATTCTTAGTGGCACTAAAGGTACTAGCACTGAGTTGTGCTGCTCAAAGTGGCACCTTTGGACGCTGAGCTGCTCCAGCTAAGGCAGTGCTCTGCCATCACAGCTGCAGCTGTTGCTTTTCCTTGTGGGTTCTCATTTAATCGCACTCTCTGCTCAGCACTGATGCTGTGAAGACAAATGTCTGTTTAAACACATGGCAAAGGAAAAAGAAGCAGCATTCCTAAGGCAAGAATATAATGTTCCTGAAAAGAGATGCTACTTACCATGGTGACATCTCTAAAGAACTGGGTGGAGTCTCCAAGCCCAGCTACAGACAGCAGAGGAGCACTGGCAGCTAGTGCTCCAGCCACAATGTTTGGGTATTTCATCCTCAGGTAAGCACTCAGCATTCCTCCATAGCTGCCAAGAAAGGACAAGTTATTTCCTTTAACAGACAACTTATGCTGTAAGACCTCAGAAGTTCAGGCCAGCATTCACAGGCTCACCCAACCCAAGGTAACAAGAAGCTCATGAATATCTGTAGATGCCTCACGTGCTCTTGCATGCTCATGATATGCATGATGCTCGTGGATATCTGTGATGCCTCATCCTCACATGAAAAGATCCAGTTATGGTCAAAGAGCAGCACACAGTGTTTTCTTACTGGCCTTTCTCCAGATGTTCACACCAGCTCTGGTGGGAACACAGCAGCTCAGTTTACTTCTGCAGACAAATGTAAATCCTGCCTCAGTATTTAACTCTGCACCACCCTGAGCATGTCCCGACAACTTCACAGCAGAGCCAAGTGTGGCTCAAGTGAAGCTGTCACTGTTCAGTGGGGGAAGAAGACACACTGTACATTTTGCATACACAATAATAAGGACCCTGCAGGCTCTTGGCAAAGGGTGTCCCTGAACACGGCGGAAGAGGCAGCCCTCTCATGTCCTGGCAAGTGGAGAGTATTCTTCCTGGGCACACCAAATAGCTGCTGCATAGTTGATCAGTTACAGGGAAGGGGAGACATGAACAAATGCCACAAGAAAACTCAAAGCCATCTTAGTAGCTTCAGTGCCAGGGCCACAATCTACACATGGATCAAGGGCTGCTACATAGACCCAAGGTGACAGAACTTACTCATTTGCTGATGGTTGTGGAGTTATTCTGAGGCCACTCCTGGGGGTGACAAATGACATTCCCAAAACACAGGTTAAACCTGGTCTAACTCCAGGCTTAGAGGTACTCAGGCTCCCTCCCCACCACTTCAAGTGGTTGCAGTACATACCATTCCCACAGCACACATATGTAAAACAGTTTGCATTTCTCTAGCCTTGGTCTTGGAAACAGGCATTAGCTGAAACCTGCCACAAGTAGTTTCAGGTTAGTTTGGCAAAGTTATAAGCACCAGAAGAGGTTTGGGTTTTCTCTCCCTTGGGAAACACTGTGCTGCTCCAGCACTGCCATATTTCAGTGTCCTTCACGTGGGTTTAGTGTCTTAAGGGCTGCTGCAGCCTGAGCCCTCATTTATACACACAGAGCTGAGTCTAACATGCAGCCAGCTCACAGGTTTTGCTGAATCCCTCTCCCACCTCCCCCTCCCAGGACAGCTATACTGTCCTGATAGTCACAGTACAAACTCGCCTGAGATCAACAGTTCAATCACCACACCACAGTGAGCTGGAGGCTTAATGATAATTGTTAGGTCAAGTGCTTTTTAGCTCACTGTGACTGAATTCGAAGCCCTGTACTTCTGGAAGCCTTTTGAAGGGAAGCATCCCTCTACTACAAGAGTGGGGATCCATCAAGAAACAAGGACATCACATCCACCCAGATGCAGCATTCTGGGGAAGGACTGCTGCAAGGAATCAAGGGGTAGCCATGCAGCAGGTTGCAAAGCAGAATTATGAAGGGGCCTACAATGAAAATGGATGGATGCTGTTAAAGAGGCTGTGTTTCATAAAAACCTGGGTGGTCCCTGGGAAGAATATTTCACCAATAATTAGTTTCCTGTATTTCCAACGTAAAATGTTCTGATCCTGCAGGAGGAATTTCTCATTTTCACTGAATCACAGAATATGCCAAGTTGGAAGAAACCCATCAGGATCGAGTCCAACTCCTGGCCCTGTGCAGAACACCCCAACAATCCTACCATGGGCTTGAGAGCGTTGTCCAAACACTTCTTGAACTCAGACAGGCTTGGTGCTGTGACCACTGCCCTAGGGAGCCTGTTTCAGCGTTCAACCACCTTTTGGGTGAAAAACTTTTTCCTGATATCCAACCTCAACTTGTCCTGACTCAGCTCCAGCTGTTTCCTCAAGTCCTGTCACTGATCATGAGAGTGAGGAGATCGGTACCTGCCCCTCCACTGCCCCCCATGAGGAACTTGAAGACTACAATGAGTCTCCGTCTCCTCTTCTCCGAGCTGAACAAACCAAGTGACCTCAGCCTTTATTCATAAGGCTTCTCCTCCAGTCCCTTCACCTTATGGCTCTCCTTTGGACTTTCTCTAACAGCTTAAAGCCTTTTTTATATTGTGGGGCCCAAAACTGCAAACGGGACTCAAGGTGAGGCCACATCAGTGCACAGTACAGCAGGACAATAACCTCCTTTGACCAGCTGATGATGCTTTGCCTGATGCCCCCCCAGGACATGGTTGGCCCTCCTGGCTGCCAGGGCATTGCTGACTCACATCCAACTTGCCGTCAACTAGGACCCCCGTGTCCCTTTCTGCAGCTGCTCTCTAGCCTCTCGTTCCCCAGTCTATACACAGTCAGGGTTGCCCTGTCTCAGGCGCAGAATTTGGCACTTGCCCTTGGTAAACTTCACAGGGTTTGAAATTGCCCATCTCTCTAATTTGTTGAAGTCTCTCTGCAGGGCCTCTCTGCCCTCGAGGGACTTGACAGCTCCTCCCAATTTAGTGTCGTTGGCAAACTTTCTTAGTATCGCTTCCAGTCCTGCATTCAAGTTGTTAATGAAGTGTTGAAGAGCACCGGGCTGAGGAGGGAACCCTGTGGAACCCCACTAGTGACTGGATGTCAACCTGATGTCACGCCAATCACTACAACTGTTTGTGCCAACCTGTGAGCCCGTTGCTCGCCCATCACATAACATGGTTATCCAGCCATGGGTCGGACATCGAAGAAAGGACATCCAGAAGGATACTGTGAGAGACTGTACGAAAAGCTTTGCAGAGGTCCAAAATAATTACATCTATTGGCTTCCCTTGATCAACTAGGTTGGTTACCCTCTCCTAGAAAAAAAATCAGGTTCAACAAGCAAGGCTTTCCCCTCCTAAAGCCATGCTGGCTATGACCGATGACTGCATCATCCTCCACGTGTTTTTCAGTACCTCCCAGAAGAATTATTTCCATGATTTTACTGGGCAGTGAAGTGAGACTGACAGGTCTGTAGTTTCTGGGTCTTCCTTCTTGCCCTTCTTGAAAATTGGGACAATGTTCTGGATGACTCGTACATTGAAGAAGCTTAGAAACATCCAGTCGGGGTGCTTCTCCAAAGCAATCATAACTGGAGACTAATGCTTGATGGGAAAGCTGAGTGGGACCTGGTGATGAGCTCCTGGGAGCTGAGGCACAGGCACATCTGCTCTCTATCAAATAGCTTAAAACTCTGCCTTGAGAACTTCCTTGAGAGCCAAAGAGATCTACAAGAACAGCATGACTGTGACTGGGAAAGGATGCAGAGAAGGGCAGGAGCCCCCACAAACCTTACCTGCCTCCAAAAGCAATGACAGGGCAATTTGCAGCACCAAACTGCTGCTTAAGCTCAGTAATGAGCACTGCATAGTCAGCAAGGGCTTGTTCCACGGTGAGCAGAGCAGTCTTCTTCAGCTGTGTTGACTCAAGTCCAAAGGGAAGAGACTTCCCATAGTATCTCTGAAAGGAAAGAGATACACTGTGGCAATGCTGGTCTGGGTCTCTGCTGCTGTCACCATAGAGCTGGGGTAAGTGTGCACTGATAGGAAGAGATAACAGAGCATGAGGTGTCCTCTAACTTGTTCATAACTGAGGAATGTCTCCTGCACCGGATACATAGAGACCTTCAGGACAGATCCTGAAGAGGATGTACAGTATGTCCTACTACTACACAAGCTACTTCAGTGTGTGCCAGATGAGCTCTCAGCGCGTGTCTCTCTTCTGAAATCCCCAACTAGAATAGGGAACAGGATAATCTCTTCATGCCTAAACTGATATATAGTAGATTTAATAGAGTAGTGTTAATAGACTAGTGTGAGAAAAGTTGGTTTGGGACTTTGCAGGCTAAAAAGACTAAACGTTATCCAAACAAAGTAACTCTCTACTCCAGCATGGAGTTCAAGGCTTGTAGAAACTACTTACAAAAGCAAATACACCGTGGCATAGGTTTTACTGAAACAGCAGTCTGCATCCTGGAGTGCTGGTAGGCATAGCAGAAAATTATTCAGAAACCATGATTAACTAAAGAAGACCTGCTACTATGAGGTAAAAGGTTACAGCAGGTCTGACTCAGCTTCATGGCAAGAGTATTCCAGACCTGCAGAAAGCTGAATTTGGTAACAGTAAACAGAACAAGACTCTACAGTAAGCATAATGACTAAAATACTCACATGTTCAGCAAAAATGACAAGTGCTTGCTGTTCCTCTGCTAATTCAAATATAAAGTCAGAGTTCTGAGCAAAAGTCCAGATGTCACCTTCATTGCCAGCATAAAAAAAGATGGGTCCAAATCCTTTCTTCCAGAACTTTGCTGAGACAATTGAGAGAAGCAAATTAAAAATAAAAAATAATAAAAACAAACAGACAAGCCAAACAGCACAAAAAATCCCCCAAAACCCTACAAAAAACATGTGCATGAAGTGACTCCATTTTTGGTGAGTTTGGGTAGGAGCTTAACAAGGAAGAACTCTGTGAACAGGCTGATTCCTGAGACCTGAGTTGGGACAGAAATGTGTTAAAAAGGCCAGGCTCCAGAAATCTTTCATTTGGTTGGGTGTAAATAAGAGCTTCCACGAGATCAGCACATGGCCTGAAACTTCCACTTCTGCCTGAAAATAACTAAAATCTCGAGTTCTGCAAGTCATTTGCAAACAATTGCTCCCCAAAAGAGCAATTTCCCTTTTCAGCCCAACTTATCCTAAACACTTGCACTGATCAATTTTCCCACAAAATTGACATTAGGGAATTGCTTGCATCTTTCTGCTGCTCCTGCTGTCACACAAAGCTGTAAATTACATATCACAGGATGGTTTGAGTTGGGAGGAAGACCCAGCTTGAACTAGAAGACCATCCAGTTTAAGCCCCCCTGCCATGGGCAAGAACACTAAGCCCAGGTTGCTCCAAGGCCCATCCAAGCTGGCCTTGAACGCTTCCAGGCATGGGGCAGCCACAGCTTCTCTGGGCAACCTGTGCCAGGGCCTCACCATCCTCACAGCAAAGCATTTCTTATGTCCAATCCAAATTTACCCTCTGTCAGTTTAAAACCATTGCCTCTTGTCCTATCACTACTGGCCCTGGTAAAAAGTCATCTTCCTCTTTTTTTACAAGCCTTCTTTAAGTACTGAAAGGCCACAATAAGGTCTCCCTAGAGCTTTCTCTTCTCCAGGTGAACACCCCCAGCTCTGCCAGTCTGTTTCCAGAGCAGAGGGGCTCCAGCCCTTGGAGCATTTCCGTGGCCTCCTCTGGACTCGTTCCAGCAGTTCCACATCCTTCTTGTGTTAGGGTTCCCAGAGCTGGATGCAGCACTGCTGGTGGGGTCTCACTGGAGCAGAATTCCCCCCCCTTCCCCCCCCCCCCCCCGGGTGGGAATGAGCTCAGGACATGCTGCCGACGATATGCTGATATATGTAACACACACATTTTTTATTTATATATATATATATATATATATGATGATATATGAAGATGAAGTGCTTCATCCTCAGATCTGTTTAAAACAGAAGGCAAATTGAGCTTAGCAGGACAAGTTGAGCCATGACGTCAATAATGGCTTATCTAAGAAACAGTTGTTTTAATGCTTGCTGACTTTAACAAACATTTGATTTTAGTTTAGTCATAAATTGCACAGGAATTAGGAGGGATAATAAATAGTTTTCTTCAGTGACAGACCTCAGACCGTCAGTTAAGTGTTGATTTCAATACACTACCGTATCATCCAAAGAGACCCTCTGCAGCAGTTGTCCTACAGATGTTGCTGCAGCATGTCACGTGGGGCTGTTTCCATTAACAGAGAGGCCTCAATTTAATTCTTGGCATTCTCAACACAGACTTGCCAAAGCCAGATTTGGCTTGGAATGGGATTTGAAACCTCTCATTAGTGAAACTGCTGCTCTTTGTTAACAAGGAGGCTGATTCGCTGTCTGTGCTGCATTTGCTTTGGGTATTCGGTAGATAACTGGCTTTTCTCCTGATATGCTTCATGGTTCCTTGAGTAAATAACCATTCACAGGAGCCAAAGCCAAAACAGACTGGCTCCCTAAAAAGGTATCTATTTTTAGATTGAAATCTTGGGGAACTGCCAGTTAAACTCAGTTTAATTCAGTTAAAGAGTATCAGATGCCCTGTTGTGAAATAAGTCTCCTTTAGCTTCTTGCTGATAATCTCAAAACTCTCATATTGCACAAAGAACAGTAGAGGGAAATGGAACTGTTCACAGGAATTTTGAATAAGAAACTCTTCTTAAACCAGCAGAACTGTAATGTTAATGTTTTGCTCCTCACAAATATTATTCAGCTCTGCCCAGGACACACAGATAAAATGTAACACTTTAAAAAGAAGACAAGTAAAAGTTACATAATGCTTTAAACCAGGTGATCCCAAGGTTCTGTTCAAAAAGGGCCACTTAATTAGTGAAGTCTCCCTTGTTGTGTTGCTGTTGTGTCCATATCTTTGGGCTGAACTGATCCACGAATTCATGACATACATGACTGGGCACAGGTGATGAATAAGCTGCAGAGCAACAGCTGATGTGAAGGTGAGCTGCAGCATCCGAAGCCCCACGTGCAGCTGGGAGGCAGAAGCAGGTGGGCACCAGGCTGGGCAGTGCTCAGGGCTGCTGCTATTCCCAGCTCCACTTTTGTTCTCTCCCTGCAAATTGCTCCCCGGATTGCTCTGAGTAGGCAGAGTTGAAAAACATGTCACACTGGTTATAGAAATTGCTGTCTTTTTAGTCACATGCTGTTTAGAAAGGCCTTGTCTCTCTTAGGGGCACAGAAAATAACTTGTTATTTGGCTAGAAAGGAAGACACTGCTGGCTCCTTGCTGGCACTACTCACTGTTTGGCATGGATTAAGCTATCCACAGCTGCAGGGTTTTAAATAACACAAACCACCGACCCAAGAGGAGTTATCTTCACTCCCAAGAATGGTGGGTACAAAGCGCAACATTTCAGTCGCTATTTGTTTTTCTTGCTGCATTCAGAGCACCGAGTTGCTGTGTAAGAGATGCTGTGGTCAACTGAACACACACAACAGAGCCAGCTCTGCTGCAAGCCTAATGCAGCTGCTGCTTCTAGCCTGCTCTTGTTTCAGAGACACCAGTCCCCAAACCTGTCCCTGCACCCCACGGCCAGAACAGATAGAAGGCAAGGAGCGAACCCCAGACTAGTACAGTTTAGAAGGGACCTCAAAGGCCATTCAGTTCCACCCCCCTTCCCTGGGGAAGGGACACCTTCTGCTAGATCAGGCTGCTCTAAGCCCCATTCAACCTGGCCTTGAACACTCCCAAGGATGGGGCAGCCACAGCTTCTCTGGGCAACCCGTGCAAGGGCCTAACCACCTTCACCGAGAAGGATTTCTTCCTAATACATAATCTAAACCTACTGGCTTTCAGTTTAAAGCCAGTTCACTTTTTCCTATCACTACATGCCTTTGTAAAGAGTAGAGGATAAGGAAAAGGAGAGAATAAAGACAGTAAAGGGGAATGCTTCACTGCAACGAAGGGCTGGCCCCCCTTAGCTCACACTGACTCCTGGATGTCCAGTGCAGCTCTCTGGCTCTTGCTCTGCCGCCGGGCAGGGGTGGTTAAAGCTTAAGCAGAATAAAATCCAGTCCGAGGCCGCAGCATCCCCGGGGACCTACCCGACACCAGGTACCGCTGTGGGAAGGTCTCGTTGCCTCGGGTCTCGAAGCTGAAGTGGTCCCGCACCTGCGGATAAAGCCGCTCCTCCAGGCCGGGCCACACCGCCCGGGCAGCTGGAGGGGACACAGTCAGCACAAGGGAAACCGACAACAGGCATCGTCACCCAGTACGGCACGGTCCAGCCCGGGAACCGGGGCCCACGAGAGCTCGGAGCTCCCGCACGGGGCTCCCGAAGCCGGCTGAGGGCTCCCGCCCAGGGAGGCCGGTTCGGGGTCCTGCCCGGGGCCCGGGAAAGTCGGCTGAGGGCTCCGACCACGGCAGGGCCGGGGCTCTCCGGCCCGGGGGCCGAGGGTACAGGCAGAAGGGTCTGGGCCGGGGCACCCACCAGGAGCGGCGCTGGCGGGTGGGAGCAGAAGCAGGAGCGGGAGCAGCAGCGACCGAAACATCCTCACGGCACCCGCACCGCGAGCGCTCCCGCGCGGCCACCGAGCACGTGACCAGGCCTTGGCGTCACGTGCTGACCCACAGCCCTTCACGTGACCGCGCGAGCACCACCCCCGCCGCGGCGTCGCCATGGCGGCTCCCTGCGCGCAGCCCGGGGCGAAGCTCGCGGGCCGGACCTGACCAGACCGTCGCCTCCCGAGCCCCCTGGGGGTGCAGTGGGTCGCTGCAGGGCCCTCTGTGGGGCGGGGCGGGGCGGGGCGGGGTGCGGTGCCGGGATGGCCGGCGGGTCTGTGTGCCCCGCGGAGGGCTCAGGCCGTGCCCGCGGTTCCCGTCCCGCCGGCAGCGGCCCCCGGCAAGCGGTGTGCCCTCCGTGCTGCCCTCCGTCATGGCCCCGGGCTCGGCGCCGGGAACTCGGCGTGTGGCTCGGAGGTGAAGCTAGCGAGGGTCCATGTTGGCTCTACGACACCGCAGCGTCCCGCAGGTCCGGGGGGAGAAGCCGGGCACGGGACGGGGTGTCCCCACCCTGGCCTTGCTGTTGGTTGCTGCTTTTCAAACCACTGCAGCGTTTGCCTCCAGGTGCTGAATCGGTGCTGGCACTGTGTGTCACCTGCTCTATCACCTCCACTGGCTGCTGCCCTGTGTTAAGGTGATGCTGGGAAAGAGCAGGGGACCTGGGGCAAGGTCAGGATGGGACAGTCTGCTGGTCTGACCACTTCTACTTCTACTGCTTTCATGGTGAGAGACCTGTGGCTCCCTGCAGGCCAGTGCAGGATGCAGGTGCTTTTCTCACTGGGGCTGGATTCACTCTCTGAACCAAGTTTCACTTGTGTGAGAGCTCTCTCAGCACAGCTAGCAGAAAAAACCTTTAGTTAGGAGTAACTTACAGAAGATTATTTACCTATGAGATTGGTATTTTGAGTTCACTGCCTCTGTGTGCCCGTGGTTTGTGACAAGGTCAGCTGGTGTGTTAAGTCACCCCTTCACTTGGTTTGGGTGGGCACTAGGTAACAGCAGCACAACGAATGTAGTGCATAGGGTGTTGAATTCATCTTTTCCACCCCAAGGACAAAACCACAGTGAAATGATTTCCCTTTCCCAGCTGCAGCTTGTTTTATACTGACTCATACATATCTCTTCAGATGCAGCCCTCTCACAGGGACACTTGTGAAAATTGGAGGAAGGTGTTCACCCCTGGGTCTGCTGCATCCAAACACAAACCGTGACAGGATAATCATCGGTGTTAGGTAGGAAGACCTTTCATTCGAAAGTCCAGTTTCTTGATATCAGTCAGCTTTCAGATTTGTGAAATCTCTGGGCACTTACATGTGGCTGTAATTCCTCCCTGGAAAGAGCCTTCATGCAGCCCTTGTCCTGCAGTAATCTCATGGGTGGTGTGGACTGCTGAGTCTTCCCACATCCCTGGCGATGCATGAGGCTACTGCTTGAGGCAGTCTCAATCTTGCCAGGAGGCTGGACTGGGTGGGCCCTGAGAGGACCAGTTTGGCCCTGCTTTTGCTTTCAGATGGTTGTGCATCAACAAGCCATCAGAGATGCTTCCAGCCTCTCAGTGTGTGTCTGGCTCCATGATGTGGTAGAAACGAAGTCCTCTTCCCAGACCCCATAGCCTGTCTCAGGTTGCTCCTGGTGACTCTCACAGACTCAGTTGTCATTTGCAGCAAGGGAAATGTCTGGAGAAAGCTCCAGGGACATTGTCATTTCTGGGCTTCAGGGTTGGCCCATTCTGGATCTACTAACAAGCAGAAAAGGAGTTTCAAACACAAAATGCAAACAGTATCCATGAGCTTTCCAAGACAGAGAAAAAGCTCTGAAATGATCAGCGGCCAGAATCAGTCACAGAGTGACTGGGGCTATTCCACTTTTCTTCTGGGGACCCTTGGCAAGAGGAAAGGAAGCAAGAAGGACTAGATGGTGTCCTGCCAGTTGAGGAAACATCTCTTCAGGATATCTCAAGTCTGTTTCCTGCCTCTCCCCTCACTGGTCAGGTGTGAGAGGTCATGGAGGAATCAGAACCCTTCTGTTGAGGAGAGGTGGGAGCTCTGTATGCACAGGTATCTGGGGAACTGGATCCTGAATTTAGTTCTTCCTGGCTGGAGTTAGTGCAAGCCGACTCAGTGACTGCTGCAGGTGTGGTGCCTCATCCCTGGAATTGTTCAAGGCCAGGTTGCATGGAGACCTGAACAATCTGATGGTGGATGACATCCCTGCCCATGGCAGGGCAGGTGAAACTAGATGCTCTTTAAGGTCCCTTCCAACCCAGACCATTTTGTGATTCTATAACCTTCTCCCCCACATGCCTACATCATCACAGGGAACATTCCTGTTCATCGGAGTGGTTGGGACTCATGCTGGAGGGGCTGCAGTGCCAGCCCATGCCTTACTATGGCAGCTTAGGGGACTGTTGTGCTTTAACCCCAACCAGCAACTAAGCCCCACTCAGCAGCTCGCTCACTCCCCCACAGGTGGGATCAGGGAGAGAATCAGAAGAGAAGAAGCTAGAAAACATGGGTAGAGATAAAGACAGTTTAATAGGGAAAGCAAAAACTGCATACACAAACAAAGCAGAGCAAAACAAGGAATTATGCTTCCACGAGCAGACAGGTGTTCAGCCACCTCCAGGAGAACAGGGCCCCATCACGTGTAATGGTTACTTGGGAAGACAGACACCATCAGTCCATATGTCCCCCTGTTCTCCTTCTTCTCCCCCACTTTATATGCCGAGCATGATGTCATATGGTATGGAATATCCCTTTGGTCAGCTGTCCCAACTGTGTCTCCTCCCAGATTCCTTGTCACGAGAAGAAGAAAAGGCCTTGGCTTTGTGTAAGGCCTGCTTAGCAATAATATCAACATCTTTATATTATCATCATTGTCTTCAGCACAAATCCGAAACACAGCCCCATACTTGCTACTGTGAAGAATATGAATTCTACCCCAGCCAAAACTAGCATAAGGACTCAGGATAATTTCACTCTGCAGCAAGATCCTCACCTAGCACTGCTGATGGCTTGTCATACCTGAATATTTCCTCTATGGAGTCATATTGTGGTATGGGTAAACTGCTCTTGGTGTTCTCTTAATCCCTCAGACACCAGTGTCCTTCACAAACAAAATTTAAATGTTGACAGTTTCTGTGTAGTAAAAAGAGAAGCTAGAGGATAGCAAAGAGAGGGGATTTAGCACTTTTAGCTAGGTTAAAGCCCAGGCTGTAAGCACCTGCTTGTACCTCTCTGCAGAGGAGTCTGTGGATCTCTAGAGCTGTCGTGGCAGCACCCTGGGCCTCTCTGAGAAGCTACTCCTGGACGACAGTATCAGAAGCTGATGAATGAGATACAGCTGGATGATGTGGGACCTTGCTCCTGCTGAGGGTATGCCAATCAGATTGGTAGCAGGAGAAAACTAAAATGGAGCTCTTGTGGGGGAGAGAAGTGGTGAAATGGAAAACACTGGTACCTGCTGTAGTGTCTTGGTACCACACAGACTTTTGCATAGAGTTATTGGTCCGTAGGGGCAAATAAGATCAAGAAACCTGCCCTGGCAGAGTGGCTGAAACTGGCCTTTGGGCCAACTGCAGCTGTGTTGTGGTGGGAAGTGCTGAGCAACTCTGCTGTGGTTCCAGCAACTGGGGTCCCACATGAGGCTTTGGAGCACTTGAGGAGGGAAGGAGGGAAGGGGTGATGCTGACAGCCCTGTGCTGGACCCTCAGTCCTTTCCATGCTGTTCTACATCATGGCTCCATCACAGCCTGCAGGAAGAGGGGGCGGGTCAGGAATTCAGTCCCTTTCAGATGAGTCTTGGGTCCAACAGAAAGAAGCTGCAAGAATATTGGAGGCTTCATATACATGGATTAGACTGAAAATTACCAGTAATTACATTTAGGGTAATAATAGCAGAGAGCTTTACTCAGATGCATTGGTCTCACCCATCACTTGGTCTTTAAATCAAAGTAAAGCACTTTTCAGAAAAAGACACTTGAGCTCAACATCAGTGCGGCTGCTGGAGGTAGTCAGGGTGAGAGTCTGGTGCTTATGGGAGCTCAAAAAAGTACTGATCTCTTCTGGCCCCAAAAAGTCTGTTCTGCATAGAAGACACAACCTATAATATCCTTTCTGGTCTATTTTTGTCCTCCGACTTTATGTTTTCTGTCTTCTCTTGGCTGGTGAGTGGCACCTCTTGGTGCTAGTCAGGTACCCTCTCACCATATTAGACTGGCCTGAATTTCATTTCTGTTCGCTTGTAGGAGTAGTGGTATTCTTTGCCCGTCTTCCAGTTGATACCATCAGCGTAGCTCCCATGCACACCCATCCAGTACATCCCATTCAGGTTTGAGTAATGACAGTCATTGTACCACCACGCTCCTTTGTATTCTGTGGCACAGTTAAAGGAGCTCATGTCATTGTCCTGATCTGTTGTTGAAAATGGCATGTCCCTGTGGTATGATAAAGAGTCTCCTGCAGAGAGCACACATTCACAGTTACTGCAATAAGGATCACAAACAGGACCTTGATGTGCCTGTGCAACCTTGCTGGGCACCAGTGGCCCTTGCTGGGTGCAAGGCAAATTTTTTAAATCCCACTGTAATCTTGCCCCAGTTGCCCAGTTTTCTTCCTTGGTTCTGGACAAAAGAAGTATCCTGAGCTCTGCCAAAACACACGGACAATTTGTCTATGTCTGTGAATCAAATGGGTCAGATTCTCCTCGCATGTACATAGGTGTCGCTTCTCTTGCACTGTTCAGGTTCTCTGCAGACACACTGGTGTCTGAAATACTAGACAGAATTGCAGTGTAAAAAGCCACATAAATGCACTGGTCTCTCTGATGTTGATTTCACTCATGCTTTTGTGAGGGATATTGAATTTTGAAGAGAATTTGGTTGCTTTTTAAAGAAAAGCAAAACATCAGGTATTAAGAGGATGCAGTGCTGTTGCTGCAACAGCTGAACAGCACCCCAGCCCTGGAAATGCCAAACTTTGTGGTCAAATATTTCCTGCCAAAGTAATCAAAAGCAGAACTTGGCCTGGCTGCTACAGAGCTGTTGGGAAGGTCAACTGGATTGGGTGCTGCTCAGAACCAGGCTCCACACTTTCTGTTAAACCATGTGGCTGGGCTTGTAGATAATGCTCTGGGTCACATTTCTGTGATGGGTGTCTCTTTCTTTCCCTGCACCTAGAGGTCATGCACTAGAGGTACCATGGCCAGTTTTAAAAAACTGTTTTAAAATGTAGCTGATACAAGGAGTTTGCACGATACAGCTCTGCATTATAGATGCCGAGCACTTCTGAAATGCTCTAGTAAAACAGACTTTCCCAGAGAGCTGCTTCAAACTTACCGGCATTTCCACCAAGGAAGTCCCCTAGAACTAGTCTGTATTTCTCAGACTCTCCCAAAACTCTGAACGAAGCGTACTTGGCAAAATAGTAGTTGTTCTCAAAGTCTCTCAGGTCAACGCGGAGTTCACAGGGTCCTAGAAGAGAAGGTTGACAGCAGTGGTGCAGAGCTTATGGTGGATACATCCCTGGATGTCAGGGTGGGGGTTTTAATGAGCCATGAGCTATCTTGAGAGGAGCTTCCACTACTTGAGAAATTATGTTTTATTTAATATTCCCACAGAACCTCCTCTACATATGATGGTTTTCTTGGGAAGCACCTTTTCAGATATGATGGTGAGTGGTCATGAACACTGAAAGCTACATGCCCAGGACTCCTGCATACAGACTTCAAAGCCTTGTGTGGACAACATGATGCCAATATAACCAGTTTCAGTAGGAAAATGTTTTGGCCTGTCTCCAGGATAGATCATGCAGTCAGCTCATTCTCTTTCTTGAATACTTGTTTGTTTGTTTGTTTTTAAGAATACAATTTCCTGTATGTAATGGTCTGCAAGAACCTACATCCCCTTTGGGATTAACAGTGGGGGGCATCAAATGGATGCAAGAAGCTCAGAGGTCTTTAACGATCCAATGTGGTACAGGTATTGGACTCTCATGGCCCCAGCCCGGGACAGAGGCAGACCTTACCCAGCGAGGTGAGGAAGTGGATGTTGTCATTCCCCATCCAGAATTCTGTCAGCTGATTGCCAAAGCCTCGTTTGTATGAATCCCAGTCTCGTAAGAATTTCACTGACCCATCCCAGCGCCTCTGGAAAACCTACAGGAAAGGAGACCCTCAGCCACACCAGCCCATCCCTCACCCAAAGCATCCACAGCACTTGAAGTACACAGCCCCCTGCATCAGGACACTCCTGTGGGTCTCTGGGGAGCAAACCTCGCAGGAGTCCCTCAATAAAGGATGTCCTCCATCTGCCCTTGGAAATGAGGAGGAAATGATTTGCTGATTTAAGCAGGGAGTGGCCCTTGGTCTGCTCCCAGAGACAACTCCTGGGAGATTCTCCTGCATCCATGCAGGGACACACTGGCTTGCTGATGTGAACCTCAGCTGTCTGCTCAGTCTGTGTTTTCCTCCCATTTGTTTCTATTTTGAAGCCACCCTTTGCAACCTTAACAAAAATCACTATATCAACATAAAAACCTCCCTCTCTCATCCTACTCACAATCCATCCCCCACCATCTGTGTCCATGTCGCAGAAGACAGCTGTGGCATTGCAGCCTTGGGGGTAGATGGTGTACCAGCCACTCAAGATCTTCCCTTTGCCCAACAGTTCTTTGCAATTCCTGGGTTCTGTGCAAATCAGAGAAAGAGATCAAGTGGAAGGAGTTACAATGTGCTCACTGCATCCAGGGAGCACACCAGCCTCGAGGCTTGGAGCCCTTCAGCACTCAGCTAGCTCTTAACACTGCAGGACCCTGGCATGCGGCTGCTGGGAACTAAACCCTGCCATGATTTCTGAGTCCATATGTTGCAAAGGAGATGGGCACCTTCCAAGAGATTGTCTAAGGTGCTCAGAGTTCTCTCATTCACAATGACTCTCTTAGGGGTCTGGGTGATGGAGCTGCTGTGAGAAGGAATTTGTCCAGACTCCAAAATGTTTGGAGGACACAGAGAATGTGTGTGGAGTTGTCAGGAAAAGAGTAGTGATATAGAGAAACAGCTCCCTGTGATGCAGCGGTGAACAACGTTCAATCACCCTCTGTGGATTGAATCATAGAATCACAGACTGTTTTGGATTGGAAGGAACCTAAAGGTCATTTTGTTCCACCCCCATGCCATGGGCAGGGATACCTTCCACTAAACCAGGTTGTTCCAAACTCAATCCAGCCTGGCCTTGAACACTTCCAGGGAGCGGGCAGCCACTGCTTCTTTGGGCAACCTGTGCTAGTGCCTCACCACCCTACTCAAATAGTTTTGAGTGAAGAATTTCCTCCTAATATCTAATCTGAATCTCTTCTCTTTTAATTTTAAATCATTTCCCCTTGTCCTGTCAATGCCCATGTAAAAAGTCACTCTCCAGCATTTTTATAAGCACCTTTTAAGTACTGAAGGGCCACACTGAGGTTTCCCCAAGACAGAAAACACTTCTGAACATATAAAATATATATGTATACATATATGTACATATTATGTATAATTTTTTTCCTAGCCCAAACCATAACTGCTAACAGAATCTCAGATTCACAAGTGACTGGAATGGTCCCTATCAGACAACCCAGCCTACAGCTGCATCTGTATCTGTCATAGGGAAAGTTTTGGGAGATGATCTCAGATGGTGGTGCTGGTGGTGCAGGTGACCCAGTGTGCTGTCTGATGCATGGATGCACAGCTGTACCAGGCTGTCTTGTGGGCATGTGTGTCCATCCTAATGGAGGTCTGGTCCTGGACTTGGCCTTTTCCTTATTAGTCAGATGTTTTACATGCCCAGTAAACATAAAAGGGCATAGGAGTGCCTGTAGGAAACGTGTTTCAGGGATGCTGGGTGATGCATCCTGGGATTGGTAGTTTCCAAAGTATACTCTGACACACATGGGCAGTGTGAGTCCCATGGTGGTTGGTTAGGCGAATCACGTGTCGTCCAAAGGTATAAAAGGTGCTGTTTTCTTCTAATAAATGGATTTGGTTGTTGGAAATCCATGCAACTGGGTCGCGTGCTTATTTATTACATTAATAAGCCATACATGGCGCCCTAAATGTGACGGCTTCTCCCTGTAACAGGGAAACATAGACTGCCTTGCAGCAAGGAAAATTGTGAGTGTGTTTGCCACTAGCTCATTTTAGGGCTCAGGGACACATACCGAGAAAAAAAAACAGACGTCTTTAAAAGCGTCAAGACTTCAGTGCAGAACGTGGCTGAAGGACGCAAAACTGAACCGAGCTCGAAAAAATTGAAAGTGCGCGTGCCAGCACTCTCCGTGCGAGTGGCGGAGAACAAAAAGCCGAGAGGATGCGGAGAAGAAAAGCCGAGAAAGCAGCAGTGAACACGAGCCGAGAGAAGCGGCGAGAAATGAAACCGCCGAAAGCCGAGGCAGTGAAAAGCCGAGAAGCGGCGAGACCGAAAGCCGAACCGAATTGGTGAAAAAAGCAAGCGTCGAGAAAACCCACGTGAGACGAAAGCAGTAAGAGAAAAGGTAAAAAAGCATGAGGAATTCGGTTTCCCAGGACATAGAAAGGGATACAGAAGCCTTGTGTTTCTTGCTAAGACAATGTCCTGTTGAGATCACGCTCGCAGAAATAACAGATCTCTTGCAATGGATAAAATTCATTGCACCAGGACTGCTGCTTGTAGAAGCTTTAAATATAACCACCTGGCAAAGGATCGGCAGATCCATGAGGGACAGAGTGATATAGAGGGGCAGGTGATGTAGAAGCCTCTAAGTGCCTTCCTACCTGGACACAAGTTATGGACACTTTGTGGATCACTCAAAGAAGACAGAGCCCCCCCAGAGACACTAACACACATTTTCCAGCACCCCTCAGCCAGGCTGCTAGCCGCAGCCATTCCCCACAACTCAGGAACAGACACGACGGTGGGGGGGGCACCACGTGTGACCCGAGAGGATCTAACAATGGACTCGGGTTGGGATTTGCGTGGGCAGGAACGGGGGGAACGCGATGTAAATTATGGTGAAGGTCCTGGTTTTGGTGCATGTGTGAGCTGCGGAGATAGGATGGGAATTTTAGTTTGTGAATCCAGTATACAGGGGTGAAGTATAGGTTCCCGCCATGGCGTGGGGGAGGGGCACCCAGGAAGCTTACCCCCCCCATGTCGCTGATGACTCACATCCGCGTGCTCCAAGAAACGTGACATGGGCGCAGCCATCCTGCGTGCGAAAATGGACCGGAACTTGAACCGTCTCTTCTGGCCCTGCAGCCATCTTGTCCCGACCATGTGCACAACAGGGGAGGTGCTTCCCTGCCGTCTTCTGCCATGCCACCACAGGGAGCCGAGTATATCGGAGTCACGGATAGTGAGGCATCAGAAGATGGAGAGGAGGAACTGGAGGTGGTTCCTCCAGGCGAGAGTGAGAGGGCAGGCGCGGGGGTGTCAGTTAACCAGTGGGAAAGATGCCATGAGGAGGCAATGCGGATGGGAGACTGGCAGGTTATTAAAGTATGCCCAGTTATATACCGGCCGTGCCAAAACCCTCAGTTCCAAAGCTTGCCCTATGAGGTGACAAAGGAACTGAGACAGTTAGTTAAAGAGACTGGTGTTTCCTTGTCTCACACATTTTCATATCTGGAGACACTGAGTACCACTTACGTATTTACCCCACATGATTGGAAGACACTGTTGAAGATTTTTCAATGAGGGCCATTGACCAGCCGTTCCAAGGACAGATTAAGCTGACGTGGAAAACTAATGACTATATTGGTTGATCACTTAAGAGAACTAGTTCAAGAGCAACTCGTTGCAGGACATATAGTGCCAACCTCCAATCCGTAGAACACTCCGGTGTTCTGCATACCCAAGAAAAGTGGCAAGTAGAGGATGCTGCATGACCTAAGAGCAGTCAACTCAGTGATAGAACCTATGGGGGCATTGCAGCTAGGGCTTCCTTCACCTGCTATGCTTCCAGCAGGATGGTCGGTAGTGGTAATCGATTTAAAAGACTGTTTCTTCACTGTTTTTCTACACCCCAACGATGTGCCACGATTTGCTTTCTCCATCCCTGCTCTAAACCACACACAGCCAATGCAGAGATACCACTGGGTTGTTTTGCATTAGGGGATGAGAAACAGCCTGACGATATATCAGGCTGTTGTGGCAAAGGCTATCTACCCTATCAGAAGGCTTTACCCCTCAGCAATCATTTACCACTACGTGGACAATATCTTGGTCACCATGGCCAAAGAAACTGAGTTACAGGCTGTTATTACTGCTCTGACTAATGCTGTCCGAGAAGCAAGGTTGCAGGTCGCTCCAGAGAAGATCCAACGATCTCAGCCCTGTACCTACTTTGGATGGAGGATCACACAGCAGGAGATCTCGCCCCAGCCAATTCAGATTAAGGTAAAGGACACTTTAACCTTAAACGAATTGCAGAAACTTTCAGGAGCCATCAACTGGCTAAGGCCTATTTTAGGCTTGACCACAGAGGAGCTGCACCCCCTGTTTTAACTGCTGAAAGGCAATCCAGACTTGACATCTAGTCAATCTCTGACTATGGAGGCAAAGTAGGCGTTAAAGACGTTCTAAGGCAGTTGAGAGCAGACAAGGCAGAAGGAGAAATCCTAAACTTAATCTGCCTTACCCTTGTTCCTAACAGGTTCCAGCCATTTGCAGTTTTGTTTCAGTGTGACCAAACTGAACCGGATCCACTGAGGATCCTGGAGTGGCTGTTTCTGTCCTATTCACCGCCTAAAACTGTGTGGACAACTAACAAAATGTTTGTCAAGCTTGTCATTAAAGGCAGAGGATGGACGGACAGGAGCTGGACGGACAGGATCCATCGATCATCTACATCCTGGTAATGAAGGACAGCCTCGACTGGCTGCTGGCTGAAGACACTGGATTCCAGGCTGCCTTGGCAGGCTATGATGGTGACATTTCCATTCACTACCCTAAACACAGGCTTTGGGCAGAAATAGGCAACTTACCCTTAAAAGCCACAATCAGATACCAACACCAGCCAGTTAAAAGGCCTGACGTCTTTACTGACGCATCAGGACAATTGAAAAAAGCTGCAGTGACATGGGAACACCCTGCTACAGGACAGTGGGAACAGGAGGTACAGACCATAAACCATGGTTCTGTACAGGTCCTAGAACTTGCAGCTATTTGCATTGTCTTTGAACTCTTTTCAGATCAACCTATTAATATTGCTAATGACTCTTGTTATGCAGCAGGTTTGGTTTCACATCTCAAGGCTTCCTTCCTTCGGGATGTTGCAAACCCACATTTACTTGTTGAAATACATGCTGTATGGGTTCTTGTCAATCACAGAAGGTTTGATTTTTACATAATGCATGTTAGATCACACACGGAAATGCCGGAGCCCATAGGAGAAGGGAACCAAAGGGCAGATGCAGCAGCTATGTTCATAACAGTGCCTAGAACATTTGAGGAGGCTAAATTGTCTCATTCCTTTTTCCACGTTCTCTGAAGAGACAATTTCAAATTACCATCAATCAGACTCGAGACATAGTTATGTCATGTCCAGACTGCCAGCAAATAACATCAATGCCATGCCAGGAAGGAGTTAACCCCAGGGGACTAATAGCTAATGAGGTATGGCAGACAGATGTTACATGCGTACCAGAGTTTGGTCGGCTGAAATACGTTCACGTTACAGTTGACACGCACTCCAAATACATAACTGCCACCGCACACACTAGGGAAAAGGCAAGGGACATAATAAGGCACTGGCTTAGCTGCTTTGCAGCACTAGGGACCCCAGAAAGGCATACACTTCAGCAAAAGTCAAAACTTTCCTGACAGACTGGGAGATCTCTCACCCCACAGGCATACCGCATTCACCCACGGGACAGGCCATGGTAGAGAGAGCGCACCGTACTCTAAAGGACATGCTAAAAAGACAAAAGAAAAGGGGAGTCTATCTGTAGCCCACAGGAGTGTCTGGGGAAAGCAGCATATGTCATAAATTTTTTAAATTGTGACAGTGCTGAGAAAAGCAGGTATGAGAGACAACACAGACCTCAGGCATTCTCCTCTCCCAAACCACTGGTCATGATAAAAGATTTAATCTCAGGGCAATGGATGGGACTGGTGGACCTCGTGACGTGGGGAAGGGGATATGTGTGTATATCTATAGGTAAAGAACTAAAATGGATTCCCTTCAGGTGTGTCAGACCCTACATAGGTACACCCTCACAGCAGCAGCAAGAACCAGAGTAATAAAGAGCGAAGAAACTGCAGATAGAGATGCACAGCTGATGTTTACCATTTGATAGTTGATGTTTACCATTTGATGTTTACTACTGGTAACTGTGAAAATGACTAATGTGGCAAAATACAGTTTTGCTAAAAGCCATGGATGTGCATGTGAGGAATGGGTGCAGTGGCCACCGGTGCGGGTGTGTGTGAGTGAATGAAAGAGAGTTGTGTGAATGTATAAGCACTTTAAACACTAAACCTTAAAAAGGTAATGTTACCTCAGCCACGCGGTCACGCTAGAAGAATTCAATTCATGACATTTACGCTGTTGTTGAAATAGAGTTGAGTTTTCCCTTTTCTACATAAACCCTGAGATAAATAAAGGTTACATAAGTACTACCCGGTAATGCCAAAACCCTCAGATCAATAAAGTTGTTGTTTATCCCAGTTGTATTATACCTCTTAGGAAAATAACAGTTTATGTTCATATTAAACAGGTTCAAAAGGTTAAAGAGAAAAATTCTAATAAATAAGTTTGTTGAAGAACCAAAGTAAGCAGTGAGCTGGGTCACTGTGATACTATGGTAATTGTTAAAGGTTTTACATTTTTACATTTTTTTAAAAATGTACTGTTCTATTATTTGCACTGTTCTATGATTCACCTCAAATATTAAAGTCAGGGGAGATGTAGGAAACATGTTTCAGGGATGCTGGGTGATGCATCCTGGGATTGGTAGTTTCCAAAGTATACTCTGACACACATGGGCAGTGTGACTCCCATGGTGGTTGGCTAGGTGAATCACGTGTCGTCCAAAGGTATAAAAGGTGCTGTTTTCTTCTAATAAACGGATTTGGTTGTTGGAAATCCATGCAACTGGGTCGCATGCTTATTTTTTACATTACTAAGCCATAGGTACCTGGGGCAGCAAGGGGCTGCTCAGTGGCATCCCAGTCCCTCAGGTGTTACAGCAGCTCTGATCTACCTGAGCCCCTGCATGTGTCTGTGGCCACGCAACACCCAATTTTAGCCAGAGCAGGTTGTAGTTCTGCTTTTAGCTCATGGAGTCAGATGGGCCAAATGAAGCTTCTTTGTTTTCTTTTTCCCTTTTTTTTCCCAATGATTAGGTTAATCTGATCACTATGGAAACTTTCCACTCCAGCAAGTGGAGGGTTATAACTGCCTTTTAAGTAGCTGCATGTCCATACAGCTCTTTCTAAAGATTTCGTCTTGGAAACCAGGACACTGAAGCTCCAAGAAACTCAGATAGACCTCCTCCAGGTCTATCTCTCCCACACAGAGGACAGGAGACCCAAGTAGTGCTCCGAGGACATGACTTTCCTGGCCAGGTTGGAGTACAAAATAGACTCACAGAAGCTGCATGTACCTGTGAGAAGCAAATGGGTTAACTGTGATATTTTCTTACTCTGTCCTTTAATGTCACTCTGAATTTTTTCTTATTCCTGTCCTGTCATGATTTCTGGTGTAAGTAGTCCACCAACGTCCACTCTGCAAAGCTGATAGTGGCATGAAGACCTAGGAAGAAACTCACCCCATATTTCTGGAAATCCAGGCTCTCCTTTTGTTCCTGTTGGACAAACAACACCGCCAATTTTTCTTCAACTTCCACACTCAGCACTCCCCTCCCCCAGCAGTTGGTGTCATTTGCTTAGACAAATCTAGCTGCACTGGAGAGCTGTGATATTAGGGAAAGTGCTTGGCTCATCTGTGCTAAGCATGGAGAAAGGCATGGAGAAACCAGGCAGGAGGATTAAATAAATATAAGCTCTGCCCTGGCTGCTCCCAGGCCCACCAGAGGAGACCCACCTGCCCATCTACACAGACTCAGGAGAGCACAGGGGGGCATGTGGTAACTCAAGTCATAGACCCCTGAAACTACCCCAATGACACCCAGCACCCTCAGACACTGGAAGTAGCTCTGCAGGTTGCCCAAGAGTACATGGGGTGGCTGCTGGGTGGTACACAAGCTGATGGTGGCAGGTAGCAGCAGCAGGTGCTGGAGCTGAGGGCAGTACTTATTACTGAACAGCTGGTTTGGGAGGAGTGTTGCCCACAGCACCTGGGCCAGGGCTGAGCCTATGATGGGGCACAACTGTCACCAAAGAGCCCTAGTGGGGTACTTCCATTTCTCTATAATTGCTCCCATCTGGTGTGTTGTTCCAGAACAGTACAAGGTGGAAGTTTAACAAAGTAGCTAACATGCTAAATTCGGCACAGCATGATTTACCTTTCAGTCCTGGGAAGCCAGGCTCTCCAACTGTTCCTGCAAAACACAAGAGGGAAATGCTCATCACATATGAGAAATGTAAATGAATTACTGAGGCTCCCCAGATGGCTACTCCAGCCCCTTCATATGTCCCAAATGTACAAGAGAGCCTGTCAAGAGGTGCAAAGATATGGTACTCAACTGAGTGTCCCAGGTGTTACTGCCATGCCAGCCTAGCTGTTCTCTTGATCAGCAGTATCTCTCGGATACAACAGGAAGATCAGGACAGAGGGAAGAGAAAACTGCTGGGCCACCTCCTGAAGTGTATGGGGGATTCACAGTTCCACTTCAGTGACTTTTTGTGCGGGGTTTCTGTTTATAGTCAGCCACTTCTGAGATTTTGTGCAATAGCTGCTTTTTCAGTGGGTTTGTCCATCTCCTACTAGAGTTTCAGTTCAAGTCTTTGGTGCATTTGGCCAAGCTGTTTTCCCTGCTAGTCAGTGCACTGGTACTACCTTGTACTCGTTTCTTTAGAAGAGGTACTTTTTCAATATTTGTAGCACACAACCCCTGCTGAAGATCCTAAGCACAACCTGGGTGGTGAAAGCCAGTTTCTAAAGAGACGTGTTCCTCTTTTCAGGGGTTCATCCTATTAAAAGAAGACCTCACCCTGTAATGGATGTTTCCTGGTGGTTTGATCACATCCTTCTGATCAAGTGGGCATTGCACACTGACTCCAAGCCTGGAGGATGCTGGAAGCACTGAGTATCATACCTCTGCTTCAGGCCTCTGAGATGAAGCTCTGCAGTGAGTTTCAAATTTCTCAGAGCTGTGGGGTATTTGGACAGGTTTGTTTTGTGGTGGAGGAAGGTTAATGTAGGAGTGGGGAATGGGGAGAGGTCTGATTTTATGAGTCTGTTAAGGATCAGTGTGAACTTTGAGAAGAGTAGTATCTTCCTCTGTGCTGTGGTCCCACTCAAGGACACTGTTTTTAGTACTCACTCCATGCAATAGCCATACCCCAAAATCAGGCTTTGTGTGTGCTACTTCGGGGTTGTTTCTTGGACTATGGCCAACCAAGTCTCACAATGCATGTCCTGAGCTTGGGGAGATTTATGGATTAGAACTGAATATGTTACCTTTTGCACCAGGTGGTCCTGCTTTCCCGGGGAATCCCTGATCTCCCATTTCTCCTGCAAAGAAAGACTCATTTTTTATGTGCACGTTGCAGACTGACCAGAAGGGAGAGGTCACAAAATCCGGGAGAGCTGGGCCTTTGCTTTCACAGAAGAAAGGGAGATGGGTTTTGTTAACTACATTCAGACTTGCAACATAGTTTACTCTTTTACCTTACTCCTTTTCTTCTGCTGAAACCTCACTACACTGGTACTTCAGTTTAAGTCTTAATCTGCAGTTCACACAAAAATTTCTATGAGTTTTTTATATGGTGGAGCCTGTCCATGGATTTGGCTGTGGTGGATATGCTCCCTCTGCTGATGTGATTCGCCTTCTCCATGAGTTGGCTATGAAAATCCTGAGGGAACTCCATCTCCCTTGCTTCCTGGGGTAGAGGATACCGGTACAGTTCTCAAACTATTCACCGGAAAACATGCAGGAGCATCATAGCCTCCCTCCCATCCAAAGTGTTCAACACAGACCCAGAGAATAAATGGATTATTTTGCTGCAAAGAAACAAATGAATTATGACACTTCGCACCCCAGGATCACTTTATGACTTTCAGACTTGTGACAGGGCTCAGGGAAGAAAAAGGTGACTCCATGTGTACCAGCACATGTCTACTTGGTGATGTTTTCCACTCCTATTTGATTCTCCAGTTGCTAACAGCAGTCAGTGTGAAGGCTGCCACTGCTGCAGCCTCATCGGACTTCCCCTACTTAAAGCAAAAATGCTGTCCCATATCACAGTTCTCATCATTGGCTTTAGGGGTGTCATTAGGTTTACTTGTTCTAAAAATCCAAGCAGAAATTTTCCTTTCACCTGTCCCACTGTAAAAGAAGGTGTTGAACGAGGGAGGGGGAAGGGTTAATTGACTATACAAAAGAACTAGCTGGCAGAACTGCATTCGAGTCTGATAGCTTTCTCTAAGGCTGGGGGGGTGTGCGGGGAGGGGGGGTGGAGGTTGGGGGGAAGGAGTTTCTTCTCCTCTCCTCTCTTTGGAAAGAGGCACTTCACTCTTCTGCCTTAACGGCAAGGATATGTGTGTGTGTGTGTGAAAAACTCCGAGGCCGTCTTGCTCTTGACCTGGTCATCTGGCTGCTCTCCGGCCTCGGCTTGCCTGCACGCTGCCCTGTCTCCAGCTTGAATCTGCTCAGAATTCATTGGAGAGTTTGTGCTCATCGATGAAAAAGGGGGAGTCCTGACCACAGCCAGGTACAGATAGCGTGAGTTTAGTGGGAGGGAAACTGCCCTTCTTTCCCCTTTTCCCCTTCCCATCCTTGGTGAGGGAGAAAAATCTCCATTTTTTGGCTTCTCCCGTGATCGGGGGCCCCCACACAGCGACCGCCAGAGCCAAACAGCGCCCCATGCTGGCCAACACTGAGCACTGCAGGCTCTGCTCCTCCAGGATCCAACAGCGCTCCTGCCAACCGTGATTAGAATCGCGCTGAGGACAGAGGAGTATCAAACTGTTTCCTTTTTTGAAGGGGACTTTTGGGTACAGGATTATTGTTAAGTTGTTTTTGTGTTCTTTTGCTGCTTTTGCCAATACACAACCTTTAATAAAGGGTTGTTACTTTTCTTTTTATTCCATACTTCCTCGATTGGAGCCTCTTCATTTTGGATTTACAATTGCTGAGAGAGAGGAGTTTAGTCTACCTCATAACTCGCCCTTCTTAGCAAAATACTTTCAGTCTCATTAAACTAAGACAGGGATCTCACCTTTTTTTCCTGGGAGACCTGGTTCTCCCTTTGGGCCAGACACACCTGGGATACCTGGGCATCCTTGGAGAATGGCGAGTCGGTCAGCATCACCCAGTCCCACTATTCTCACCTCTGAGGAAATGAAGACAGTATTTGTGGAGATTATTAGAATTCTGAAATATTTTGGAGAGGAAGCCAAACACTCTGAAATTGAGGAACAACTCAATCAAAAGCAATGACTGTGGAAAATTGGAGGTGTTGCGTGAATTAATAGCTGTTGCATGAATGGCATTGAGGATCTCACATATTAGAGGAGCCAGACTCTGAATCTCTCTTGCCTCAGGAGAGTTCAGTAGGAGAAGAGGCTGATATATATGAAATGTATATGACATTGCCTGACAAATATACTGCAGCTTAATATAACAAAACCTGAGAGGTGCATCAACGGGGTATTAACAACGGAGTAAGTGACACTGATGGATCTGTGGAGAGTTAAGCGTTCTTCTAAATTCCCTGACGGCGGGTCAGTTTGAAATTGCCCCTATGGCCTTCATGAGGAATACAGACAGAACACTGCATTGAGCAGCATCCCCAGGCTTCCAGCGTGCCTAGCACCCAGCAGGCATCCACCGACCCTCTGTATTGTTCTGCATCCTTTGGTAACTGTGCCAAGGCACTACTGAAAAAAACCTTAACCAGGATGGAAAATCTCAACAGGGACAGCCTGTTCCTAGCGATCCCGCTGGTGACTGGGGAAGGATGTTACATCTTTAATTGGTGGTTTCTTTGTTAAGTGGCTGCTGAGATTTCAGCCTCTCCCTCCCCCTCCTCCCACTTGCCGTTGAATTTAAAAAAGCGTAGAAGGAAAAATCACATGCCTCTTCCCTCCCCTCAAGGTCCATCTCTTATGGGGAGAAGTGGGATGGCAGTAATATTTGTGCTCTACTCACCCGAGCAGGTGTCCTCAGCATCACAAATAGTCATTGTCAGACTGAGTAGTACCAGGAGGGCTGGAGCTACCCTCCCCATGGCCAGCACTGCTCTCTGTTCTCTGCACGGCTTCTCTCAACCACCTCCCAGGGACTGTTGTCAGCACTGACCCATCTAAGCCTTTTATATCTAACAAAGAGCTCCAGCGTAAGCTCCACCTCTGCACTTGCCCACTGAGGCCTGGCTAAGTCTGAAGCTGTTTCCCTGATAAGCCACTTTCCACAAATCTCTTTGGAAAATTCTTGCCCAGCTGCCCCTGCTGCCTTACCTCTGACCTGCTAAAATTCTAGATGGCTTTCCTTTTTCATACTGTGTTTCTAGAGAAAATGAAACAGCAAAAACTGGTTTAGCTAAGTGTAGACATCCTTCCTCATCCTGCCTGCTACCCTTTGTGAAGAGAAGAATTTACTGTGTAGATGGGGAAAATGAGTCACTGGGAGTAAAAAGCCCAAGGTCAACTCAGGCCAGTGGCAGAAAGAAGTACAGAGCCTGGCTCACACTGCAGCACTGCCTGCCCACCAGTGCAGCACCACTTCCCAACCCCTCAAATGGAGGCTTCTGCTTATACGTGAACCATGAGTGTCATGGAGTTCACACTCTGTGCATCCAGGCAAGGGTAGGTAGGCAGAGCATATTTGATTTTTTTCCCCCACCTTTCCATTCTATTATCAAGCAGAATTTCTTGTTTACTTTCCTGTTGCTGTGCTCTGCTTATTTGTGGCAGCTTTACTTGAGGTCCAATATGCTACATATGCAGTTCCTGGGATGAAATTAGAACATCATCTTTCTTCCTTCAGAAGAAAGCCTTCCAGAAGGAAAGAGAAAACGGATTAGCAGGTGCTAGGGAGGGAGAGATCTGTGCAGAGCAACTCTAGGGTGACTGGGAACTTGTACACCTCTCTTTTCTCATCTGTACAGCCTGTGCTGCCCATCTGGGATGGACTAAGGGGCAGGTGGAGAAGTAGAACCAGCCCCTAGCCCTGAGAAGCTTTCTCAGGCCCGGTGCCTCTGCTCTGTGTATGGAAAAAGCTGCAATACCTTGTTCCAACTATCTAGAGGCAAAAACATTTACCTTCAGCTCTTCCCTTTGATAATCATTCCATGAAAGCAAAGGCCTTACAGATTACCCCATTGTTACAGTCTCTCAAGGGCTTGAGGCTAAATCTGTCCGATTAAAAAATAAAATAAAAAAAACAAAACAAAACAAACTTAAGAATGGGTTTGCCTAGCTTTACCCAGTTTTTCCATCAGGAGGATCCAGTTCTGGGTTGGGCTGAGATGTATGTTATGGGGACAACTGTGATGTGTCTGCTCACCACTGATGCATTCAGTGGTAACAGCTGGGTGCATCCAGCCTGTGGAACACCATTTTCTCCCCACTTTCATCTCAGAGAGCAGCACTGTCCTTGTCGATGAAACTACTTTTACTTGGAAGCAGAGAGGAAACTGCCAATGAAAAAGCTTAGTCCAAAGTAGGTCAGGCTCCCGAGGGTAGATTTTGAAATTAGCCCTGTGATCAATAAGTCCTTAATTGCTTTTTCTCATCCCAGCACCCAGTGAAGATTGCAGAGGGCTGATCATTTATACCATCAGAAATTCTTTTGTATATTTACATTCTTTCTTGAGCCCTGGGAAATGCCCCCTATGAGCCTTGAAATTCGAGGGTCACTTGAGGATGAGAAAAGAATTCTAAGCACACCGGGTGAATGGGAAGCACCTCTGAACATTGTGACCAGTCAGTTCACCTCTACAGACATAATTTCCAAGAATGAAATTCCCAGAATTGAACTCATGTACAAATCCCTATGAAATCAGCTTAGGAAATCAGAAGGCAGAAAGAGCTTAAAAAAGTTCATGTGGGAGCATCATAACCCTGTTTAACAGGGGATTTAGCACTGATTAATGCAAAATTGTAGGAGGAATCCTGGTTTCTAGTGGAGTCCTAGGTCTCCACTTCAACCAGATTGCTGGAGTTTCGCAGGGAGGATGGATAGAGAGTGAAAGCTGTAACTACAGAAAAAACAAGCAACCAACCCCAGTCATTGTTTTCCTCTGCTCCATGGTAACTTATGGTAACATTGTCATGCAAGTCCTAAAGCTGCAAGAAGGATAGATGATGGGCATTGGGAGGTGGGAGGTAAACTCTGACAAACCTCACTTTAAGGAACGTAAAATAAGAGTTTGCATGAGATTTGGCACCATTACGGGTACTCAAGGGGAGCTTTCTTGTTCTTTGAAGACTTGTCATGCTAGGAAAGGAGTAGTGTCAGCCTGCAAGGATAGGTTAACATCCAAAGCAAAAAAGAAAGATGTTCTTCTGGCTTGGCCTATTTATATCTCTTATAAATATTATGTGTGAATAACGAAGTTTTACAGGTTTTCTTCTTTGATGAACACTTACAATTCCAAGATAGAATTTCTTCATCCCATAACCAATCTCAATATCTGTGGTGAAGACATTTGCCCAAGCTAAGATAACAGAATTTTTTTTCAAAAGATATCCCCTGTTTATTCCTTTCTGCTTCTTCGTTTTGTGAACATATATCACCTTTGGGTGCTAGAGCCCCTTGGCGATAAGAACACTACCGCTCATTTCCCTTGTCCTTACCACGAAATCTGTTGCAAGTCCCAGAAGCTCCAGAAGAGCATAGGTTGAATTTCTAGGCAGTTATTCTTGCCATGGAGCGGAAATGCAGTGTTGCCCAGCTCACACTTTGGGTTTCATATATTGCATTGCTTCACTCTCTGCATTCCAGGGCACCTTCAAGGGAAGCTCCTGGCTGTGAGGAGCTCAGGCTGCTGGTTTCACTGCTCTTGACCCACAGACTCCTTCTGCTGGGCAGAACAAAGCCAACTTTGTGCATAACTGGTGCAGGCTGTAGCATTTCTTAGTACTGGCAGCCATGCAGTGCAGTGATTCACGAACATAGACCACCCACTTTCAGCCTGTTTCTAGAGGCTCTTTCCCACATTTCCATACATCGATTTTGGGGTACAGTGATTTCCTAATTTCATCTTGATTTACTATATCCTTAAAGCTTGCGAGTACCAGGATGTCCTTGACTAAGGGATGCTGCCTGTTCCACTGATTAGGTCTCCTTTCTTCCTGATTAGGTTTGAAAGTATAGAAAGTTCCAACATCAAAAACATCCTGACTGAAATAATCTTGACATATTCCACATTTTGCAACACCAGCAGGGAACAAATGTGATTCTGAAAACATGATGTTATGTTTCTAAAACTTCTTTATTTTTTTTCCTCAGTATCACAATTTTTAGGGAACTTCATAAACAAATAAATTTCAAAAAATTCTCTGGTTAGGTAAATTCAGCTTCCCAGGAAAGCTTCAATGTAGAGAAGATAGTTCAAAATAAGGTAACTCTCACCTTCTTTTCCAAACTTAACCACCCATATCAAGAGCAACACCCAGATGCATTGTGGTATGTAATATGTGGTCTGAAGCATCCTGGGAACAATAGCTCCCACACACTGGTAAGCCATGAACAGAGACACACATTTTTCCACAACCACAGACTCACTCACATATGATCCCCATTTGCTGGGTTTCTCCGTCTCATATGTAAGGTTCCTGAGGTCTAATACAAATTTTTAACAGCAAGCTGTCTGTACATAGTCCTGTCTTTCTAATATAGGATTTCCCTCTTCTTCAGCATAGCTCCAACTCGTCCAAAGTCCCTGCATGTAGCAAACCGGGTCCATCCAGTCTCTCCTTTGAGCTTCAGATGCGAGTTTTTAATCTACTCACAAGTCCCTTGATTGATGGTCCCTGTCCGATCCCCTGCTATTTTACTGCCATCATACCTCAAGCTGGGCTTAGTTTAGGCTGAGACAGCAGCACAATGATGCCTCCTTTGCCAACTGAGACCTGGAGTTCAGTTCTCCACAATTACTTTCTGACTTTCTTCTAGAAGGTAGAGAGCACCTTCTCATTTCTTTTCTGTGCAGAGGGAGCCCCTAAAAAAACAACTGCAAAAGTACATAATCTGCTACCTTCCTTGTTTTAACAATCTGTATTCTGAATTAAAAATCCATTTTGATTTATTGGCAGAAAGTGCAAAGACAAACCATTCAATTGATTGCAATTAATGACTATCTCTGAAATAGCAACCAAACCTCCTGTTACATAAAAGCATAATGAACGTTTCTGTTTCAGCTTTAAGGCTTTTCCCAGCCCCCAGTTCTATCCATGTCCTTTACATATTCACTAACCACCTGGATGCTGCTAGATTTGTGGTTATTTGAGAAGGAGGATTATTTTTGCATAAAGAAATACTATGTACCAAAGTATAAACATGATCTAGGAAAAAATATTTTAAATATATTTTTGCCTACATGAAAAAGCAATGAAAAAAAACATTGTAGTATGTATGGCCAGTCTTCGCGAATGAAGATTTGGGAAAGGTCATTAACCCTTCAAGTCTGCGCAGTGGATTCTTTTAGCTGAGACAGAGTGTGCGCTGAACTGAGCCCACCCTTTAATCCTGAGGTTCATCTGCCGGGGCCGAGCAAGCTTGGACAGTAGTAGTGAGGCCGAGCAAGCTTGGACAGTGGCAGTGAGGTCCTCTGGACGTAGGTTTTTTAGAGTGACCTTCTCTTAGATGGATGGCCTTACAGGGCTGACGAGCTCCATCTGCCCGGGGGATTTTCCCTTGACTGGGAATCGAACCCTGGGCCGCGGTGGTGAGAGCGCCGCATCCTAACCACTAGACCACCAGGGGTCCCCACAAAAAAACCTTTACTGACAAACAAAATCCCACCTTCTTCCCACGAAATGGATGTTAATTTTTTTTGGGTTTACAGGGTATGAAATCCATGAAAGAGGGAAAGTATCATGTTAAATCACCCACTGAAGTGGTAATATCTGAAATCAAGGGAATTCAGCATGCCAAGAGAAATCAGGATGGTGAGCCGTGAACTAAGAGTTTGCTTCTTTTGAAAACTATGGAGGCTGTCCTGCTGCACACAGCATTTCCAGCCTCATAAATTTCATGCCTGAGTGAGATTCATGAGCTGTCACT